AACTGATCAGTTTCAGCAGCGGCTGAATCTGGACGCCAGTTCCGACTTACATACAGATTCAACTTAAGAACAAACCTACAGTCCCTATCTTGTACGTAACCCAGGGACTGCCTGTATTTATGATTTAGAATGAAGGCCTAAAAGGGTATTTTCCTCTCCAAAAGCATTTTTATTATTATTATTTGCCATAGAAATATCAGGAAGATCAAGTCTTAAGCCTTACCTACATTACACAGTTTTGTCAACAAAACAACAGAGGTGTACACACTGAAATACTCTTCCTTCAGGGCCATCAATTGTATCCTGCTCTGGAAAGACCATGACTCTGGGCAACGTGTGAAATTGTGGATGGCTTTGCACAAACGGGCTTCCCTAGCTGTGGAGTGATGGTAGACACATGCTCCAGTGCATACAACAAAATTTATTCTGCATATGAATGGAAAAAAAATTAGAGGAAACATTGTTCACTGTTGCTGTGTAGAGTGGAACAATTACCTCCTATGTCTTAGAATCATAGAATCATAGAATAATAGGACTGGAAGGGACCTCGAGAGGTCATCGAGTCCAGCCCCCCGCCCTCAAGGCAGGATCAAGCTCCGTCTACACCATCCCTGACAGATGTCTATCTAACCTGTTCTTAAATATCTCCAGAGAGGGAGATTCCACCACCTCCCTTGGCAATTTATTCCAATATTTGACCACCCTGACAGTTAGGAATTTTTTCCTAATGTCCAATCTAAACCTCCCCTGCTGCACTTTAAGCCCATTACTCCTTGTCCTGTCCTCAGAAACCAAGAGGAACAAATTTTCTCCTTCCTCCTTGTGACACCCTTTTAGATATTTGAAAACCGCTATCATGTCCCCCCTTAATCTTCTTTTTTCCAAACTAAACAAGCCCAGTTCATGAAGCCTGGCTTCATAGGTCATGTTCTCTAGACCTTTAATCATTCTTGTCGCTCTTCTCTGTCCCCTTTCCAATTTCTCCACATCTTTCTTGAAATGTGGTGCCCAGAACTGGACACAGTACTCCAGCTGAGGCCTAACTAGTGCAGAGTAGAGCGGCAGAATGACTTCACGAGTTTTGCTTACCACACACCTGTTGATACAACCTAGAATCATATTTGCTTTTTTTTTGCAACAGCATCACACTGTTGACTCATATTCACCTTGTGGTCCACTATGACCCCTAGATCCCTTTCTGCCATGCTCCTTCCTAGACAGTCGCTTCCCATCTTGTATGTATGGAACTGATTGTTCCTTCCTAAGTGGAGCACTTTGCATTTCTCTTTATTAAACCTCATCCTGTTTACCTCTGACCATTTCTCTAACTTGCTAAGGTCATTTTGAATTATGCCATATTGCAATTGTGGCAGCTTCTGAGTACATTAATCAAAAGAGTCATTTCTCAATGGTTCTCCAGCTGCTTGTGAATCTCCGTGGGCATTTTCCTGGCCATTAATGGAAGCTGGACTGGAAAGATGCATGACACACACACCTTTCAGAATGCTCACCTGTTCAATAAGTTGCAAGAGGGGACTTTCTTCCTGGACCAGAAGATCACTGTGGGGGGAAGTGGAAATGCCCACTGTGATCTTTGGAGACCCTGACTTTCCCCTTAATGCTGTGGCTCATGAAGCCATTCATGGGGAGCCTTGACAGCAGCAAGGAGGCGTTCAATAACAGGCTGACTTGGTACAGAATGAGAGTGGAGTGTGCTTTTGTTGTTTTAAAACCTGCTGGTGACATTTGTAAAGGGCCTGGATCTGGCAATAACCTTATGGTTATCACCGGGTGCTGTACCCTCCATAATATTTATGGAAGGGAAGGCTGAAAGTTCACTCAGGGCTGGATCTGCTGAGGCCCTGTGCTTGGAGGCTGATTTTGAACAGCCTAAGTCCAGGGCTATTAAAGGGGCACCCCATGGGGCCATAAGAATCAGAGCTGCCTTGAGGCAGCAATTTGATGCTGAAAGTCAGTAATATTTGTTGCCATGCACAGAAGATCAATGGCTGTGATGCAGTAGGTATCTGTGATTGATCCGTACTGTTGCATGTATGCAGCAATGGTAGCCAATACAGAAAAGATGAGCCCAACACGAAGAAAATGGAAAGGGAATAAACACTGGCATTTTTATAGGCTTAACTTTAGAAGTGGCTTTGGCACCAAATCAAACCCCTGAGAACTTTGCATGCACAAGGCCTACGCCGAAGTATGAAGCAAATCTATCAACCTACCTAAGGCTATTTTCACACCTAATCTAAAAGTAAACAAGGAACTCAGGAAGGGATAAAAGAGTGCTAAGGAGAGCTCTGAAGGTCTCTCTGTAGTGGTGGAGGAGGAAGTAGCATGATTGAGGGGTGGACTCCTTGTAACTTTGTGTACCAAGTGTTCATGCCCGCTTGGGGGAGGGGTGACATTTGTTCAGGCCCAATGGACACAGCTTGCCAGAAGGTTCTGGAAACTCGAGGTGTCAGGAGCACCATGTCATGGGTGGGAATGCAGAGGCCCTTGAAGGAGAGTTTCCCTTTGCCGCTCACCTCTCAGCAGCTACGCCGTGCGCGGTCTGCTGGGTATGCAGATCACATCCCCAAACATATGTTTTTAAAACCCTCTTTCTTGCCCATGTCCAGCTGCATCAAGAAGCGAAATGTTCTCCTGTCCTGTTAGGGGTGTGGCCATGTGACAGTGGGCAGAAGAACAGCTGGATCCAGGATGTCCCAGTCTGCTCCTTGGGCTTCCCTGGGCCATACCCAGCAGTTTTACTGTCATGGTGCAACATGGAAGCTGCTGCAACAGCACCAGCAGGAGCAACACAGCCTCACCATTACCTAATGCAGGGATGAACAAATTCCAGCCCGTGGGCCATATCCACTTCCCCAGGGTTAGCCCCTGGCAGGCCCCCGCTGCTACTATATTTACCTGCACCTCTGTTGGTACTAGTGATTGCAGCTCCCATTGGCCAAGGATTGCTGTTCCCAGCCAATGGGAGGTGTGGGAAGCAGTGTCCCATTCCACATCCCTTTCCACAGCTGTCATTGACCAGGAACAGTGATCCACAACCAACAGGAGCTGCAAGCACCCACACTTACGGAGATGCAGATAAATATAGTGGCTGGGGGCCTGCCCGGGGCTAACTCTGGCAAACCGCTGCCATCTTATTGCCCAACAGAAGGGCAGAGCAGAGGCAGAGGAGAGAAGCAGTCGGGAGCCGTACTCACCTCTTTGAAGTTGTGGTAAAATTTAGCTGCAAACATCGCAAGCTTCTCTTCAAAATTCCGTTGCTCTGTTTCACTGAGTGACGCGTTCCGACGGACTTCCTGGTAGGACCATTCCTCTCCACATTTGTTCCCATCAACATTAGCAGGGCAATGAAACTTCAAGTGACCCTGTAGGGCAGGAAAGCAGAGAAGTGAAAGAGGCAAAGCTGTGAAATTGGAAGCCTGAATCACAATACAAACTGCCTAGTACCAGTGTTAACGCCATCCTGATAGCATTGTTTGCTTGCCTGTTTGGAACCAAGGTCTAGAGCTTTACTGAAGGAGGTGATTCCTGTGATGGAGGCAGATGGATGTGTTAAATATGGTCAGTAAAAAAAAAAGCACATTGTCTGATTTCTGAAGCAGAGTAAGTCTTCGTTTCTCTCACTTAGTTGAAGCATTGTGCCTATGTAGTCATAACCAATCTTCCTTTCCCATTATGTTTTTTAAAGTAACTCACTAATCTGAGGCTTATGAACATGACACTGAGTCATCAGCAAGGGAAATATTTGTACTTTTACTCGAAGATTTACCTAGTATTGCTTGGGTCCTTTACTCAATTCATTTTTGTTTTTCTTCATTTGAATCATTTGTCTGTGGTTGGGCTGGGGATGAGGGTTTCAATTTGCAGGTTGCCCCAGGGAGAGAGGACAACCCCAGCCCTCTCTCACCACAGTAGCTTGGGGACAGGTGAGACACCCCTCTCCATGGCCATTGCAGCTCCACCAGACACAGCCAGGGAAGGGGTGCATGTCCCAGGTCCAGGTTTGTCTGCTGTCTGCTCTCCCCAGCCAGAGTGAGAGATGGAGCAAACTATGTACTATAGCCTCACTCCCTGAGGAAAGAGAAACAGACAGCAATGTTTCTGCACGAATGTGGGAGAAGCTGCAATTCCCTAGCCTCCTTAAAAGGTACTTGTATGGTGGGAGGCTCAGGGCTAGTGCAGTCTCAGATGGGGGGATGGGGAGAAATCAGTGGTTTGAAAAAAAATCGATGACTCTGATTGTGGTCTCTCTTCTCACAAAGTATGCTGTTTTCTTGGGTTTCCTATAAAACAACTCTTCTTTCTTTTAATATTTAAATTTTCTCTCCCTATTTGGTCTCTCTTTTGTTTATGTTCCAATCTGTTCTGTATGTGCACAACTGCGAAGAGCAATTTCAGCCACAGTTGGCTGTTTGATTCATTATGTTCTCTTTGGGGTTGAGGAATTTCAGGTTCTCATCCACCCAACCTGCCTTCTTTTAAGACTAGCCCATATGTATCCATTTGGCAGAGGTCGTCATTCCTGGAAAGGTTCATCTTCTTTGGAAAGTATGTATTTGTTTGTTTATTTATTTATTTAATTAACATATTTTACCTCTATTAAAAATATTCAAGGTGACTTACAGTTTTAAAAAACACA